TCCCATTTCCATATAAGGTATGACTGACGGAAAGGTCTGTCACCGCCCCCGAGCTGCATGCTGCAGCGAAGTGTACCTCGCTTTGGGTAAAGGCCCTGGCTCATCATACTTTACTGTACATGCTATTAACTGTAAGGTGACAGCTGCATTGTGGGATTTGAAGTCCAGCAATGGCCTGGTTCTGTCTAGCTCTTTACGTAGCGACAAAAACAAAACGCCTACATGTCCCATGATGCCTCGGCGCTGACTCGACTTTCCCAAAACCTGATTGTCAACAGAGAGTGGCAATGTCTGCCGTTAGCGTGGAGCAAAAGCTCGCTAAGATGGACAACGAGGAGAAAACATGCTCTGTTTCCAACAGGTATTAACACTTTGAGCTTTTAGTTTTTCTTTGGACAACTGAGAGAAGACTATCATTTATATATTTTTGAAGATATTGCTTCTTACCGGTAGCTAAGCATCTTACGGGAAAGCGACCACTCGTGAATCGCCTTGCTTTCAAGTGACATACTCCGTAAAGCAACCCAGGGAGTTATTAAATTATATAATTTGTTATAGATGCTATAAACTCACATATAGCACATTTTATTTTACACGAGGCGGCATCTTTACTTAGCTTAGTTTATTTGCTAGCAAGAAGAAACAAGACGAGAACAAATATCGGAAATGTGAACACATTTTAACCAAGTTTAAAAGCGATCATGAGGAAATAATGATCGCTGTCAGATTTGAGGTTAGCTTGTTTCCTGAAGAGCCTACAACATGAGCGAAATGATCAGTCTTCCTCACGCGACACGTGAAAGAAAGCTTACAGAGAAGACTGACATTTATTTTAAGTGTATATGAATGTAATTAAATAGATATACACGTGTCATATCTCAGAATAGACCGAGCTCTGCATCACACCCTCCTGAAAAAAAGCTGGGATCAAACTGAACCACAAGAGGGCGCCACTGCTTCAGCCTGGGACTTCTGCAYGTTCTGTAAAATCACAAACAAGACAGTTTGGCTCATGGGACTGTTTAACATGGGGATACCTCCTTGACACACAGCTGTAGGAGGAAAACACAGTCATGGAAATATTTTTAACAAAACATAMAGCTCTTTTAATGACAGACTAACTCAACGGTGGAAAAACAATCAGTTAAACGCCTAGAATATTCCTTAAAGAAATAGATACTTTGCCACCCATCATGTCCAAGTTTTAAACTAAAATTTAATAATGCTGATAAGGGATGGAGATATTGGTATTTTGGTCAAACCTTGTAAAATGACGTTACGCACAATCTGGCAGGATCTCAGCTACACCTAAATTTCCGCTCTGTATCTGTAAAACCTCAATGCAAAGAAATTAAAGTGCCTATGACATGAATTTTTTAAAATAAATATAAAGGCATTATTGGAAAGATAATATTATTAGTATATTGCAAAAATAATTTCCCGCTGCTGAGATGAACAGTTGTTGAGTTATTTGTATGTGAAGGAACAGGAAGTGATGTCAAAGGGGAATGCCTGCATGGGAAAAAAGCATTGATATAATAGCTAACAACACAGACTGTAGAGAAGAATCTGCTGCTTCTTTAGATTATTTTGAGTCGCTATCAGAGAGAGATGAAGAGTCAGAGCTCAAATAATAATATTGTTTCCATAAACAAAGATTACAGAGTTCTCTTTCTTAAATAGTTCCCCTTTGATTTCACTTCCTGTTGCACTTTGGCTGAGCCAAGTTCAAAAGAAAATATGCCATTTATGTGACAAAATGGGTAAAATCACATGTTATATGCAAGGTTTCTTACTGTATATAAAAATGTGTTTTCTTTTACTTTTTGTATTTGATGGATAGGCATGTCACAGGCACTTTAAAGCAGAGTTTCTCAAACTGGGGCCCCAGGACCCCCAGGGGTCTGCGAGATGTATCTTGGGGATCCTCAAAAAATTTCACCAAATTGTTAATTTGGTTTTTATTTTTAAAAATGCATGGAGAACAATGAACTAATAAAACAAACATTANATCTTGGGGATCCTCAAAAAATTTCACCAAATTGTTAATTTGGTTTTTATTTTTAAAAATGCATGGAGAACAATGAACTAATAAAACAAACATTACAAACCTGATTAAAATATATATATATATATTCCCATGACATTTAGGGGTTGAAATGACAAATTATTTTTAAAACAGCATGGGGTTTATGGGGGGGTCCCTGGAATTTTTTTGTTCTTGTAAGGGGTCCCCAGACCCAAATGGCTTGAGAACCCCTGCTTTAAAGAGAACAATCCTGCATGTTGCTGTGCTCTTCAGCAGGCCTTCAAGTCTTTCAGAAACACGTTAATCACTCGTTTATACAWATCGGGGAAACGACTAAAACGTGCAGGATAGTGTCCCTTGAGGGTCAAAATTTGACATCACTGACCTAACCTATGAGTGTTATGGGTTTTTTCATTTTTCTTTTGACTGTGATGTTCACAGTGAGCTCTCTGATGACGACGAGTCATTGAGTAATTAGTTTATATGAGTCAAAGGAATTTAAGATTCACATCACATGACTCATGTTGAATATTTCTCCTACAGTGAGTTTTRGTGCTTTAGACTGGGCGCTGTGCGTCTCGGTGAGAGTCAGCTRGATGTTTGGCATAACCAACCAGCTGCAGCTTCTTGTTTCAGTGCGGCTGTTTTGTGTTGCAGCTGTCTTTGAACTACACAGTCCCAGAACCAAGGCCCAAAGAATTTCATCTCTTTTTTTTATATAGTGAAAGAAAACCACAATGAATTGCTATTTGGTAGGTCCTCTAAAGGACGGTTCTTTAAATGTTGGTGCTGCAGAAATTTGGAGTTTGTTTTATATATTCTGGAAAAAAAAGCAACAAGTCTCCTTTTGAACTTGGGAAAAGTATGATTTGTTTTGCTTTGTTTACATAAGTTGTGGGCCGGGAGGAGGAGTGTCAGGGTGTGGTTGGATCTGCATATTGCCCAGAGTTGTTCTGCAGACTTTCAGCTGATCGAGCAGCAGTGTCGGCTTTCATCATGCTGTTTATTTTCCCTGTCGTGTGCGTGAGTGGAGAGAGGGAGGAGACCGTGTGTGTGTGTGTGTGTTTGTGTGTGTGTGTGTGTGTGTGTGTG